GGAGGGGCCCGGGCCGGTGGGAGGCTGGGTTCGCTGCCTTCGGCCCCGTCGGGGTTTCAACCTGCCTGCGCCCAGACAGGCTCGGCCTCAAAGGGAGCGACCCGACGGGCGCGGGATGCCCGCCGCCCTTCACCCTCGGAAGGGGTCGCGGGGCGATGCCTGCCCTCGCACCCCCTGCGCGCCAAGAGGGGCCAAGATCCCTCTTAAATCCCAACCTTGGGGCTTGCGGCGTAAAGAGCGGCAAGGCGCCGGCAGCTCGCCCCGCTCCCGGGAGGCCGTCGCCGCCGTCGCGCTCGGTTCCGCTCGGTTCCGCGGTTTTTAGGAGGATGTGCCTTTATTCCAAAGGATTTAGGGCTCCTGCGATTGCCAGCTTCGCTGCGGCTGTCGCTGTGCTTTGAAGAGCTGTTTCCTCCTGATTCCCGGCAAGCTGGGAATAATGACAGAAAATAAACTGGGCAGAATGAAGCCCTGTAAGTATCTGGAAAGCGCAGCTCAGCAGTGAAAAGGCTCCTCTGTTCTGCGTTTGGCACAGCGCGGCGTAAGGTCACCGTGAAAGCCCAGCTCGGCCTGGCCGTTGCCAACGACTTGTTTCTGAAACGCACCCTTCCCCCTTCCGCGGGGCTTTGCCGAGCGAGGCCCCCGGCTCTCGACGTTCGGTCGTGAGAGTTGCGGGGGTTTTTTAAGCGCTAACATTAAACGACCTTTCGAGTTTCTGGGGCTTCTTCCAAACCCTTGTTGTACAACGATTTCCTATTTTAACGTTGAAAAAACACCGCCTCCGTCTTCCTACCTCCGGGAAGGAAACGGGATCGGTTACGTTTGCCCGGAGCCGCTGGCCTGGCTTTGGTGGCGGTGTTGTGGTAGAGTACTTCCATAAATTTATTTTCGTGTCTAAATTACAACTGGGAGCCAAAGCAAGGGAGCCAGCGCGCCTGTGAAGATATAGTTTCCTCCAGGACGCCGTGAGACAGTTGAAGGTCGGACAACAACTTTCGCTGCGACCGAGGTTGAACCGTGTCGAGGTTTAACTTGCAGCTGTTGCCTTGGAGACTTAAAATAATTACGTGAATTACGGAAGACAAAAGTAGAGCGGTCTGGTTTGTTCTTTTATTGAGCAGTTGCTCTTTGTGGCATCAAGCATCCGCAGAGGCAGCAATTATTTTCTTGATAAGGCGCCACCGTCTTTAAAGGAGGTTGCCGTCCAAGAATTCTTATTATTTGTTAATTATTATTAAAATCGATGGCTTCTGCCTGGTAGTATTTAGATAGCCTCGCTTCCTCTCGTCCCGGGACCGCGGCAGGGTGACTCACGGGAAAGCGTGCCCGTGAGCACCGCGCCGGCAGCCCTCTCCCTCGTGGGTGAAAGGGGAAGCCTTCGGCGTCGTTCTCCTGAAGCTGAGGCCGCGGGTTGCTCTCGAAGGGTCAGGTTGCCTTTGTCGTTCAAATGCTTTTGCGTCCCGAGGGGCGCGATTGTGCGGAACAGCACAAAGGTGCTGCAGAACGTCCCGGCGAGAAAGACGCTTCCCACGCGAAGGACGTTTGCTTCCTTTCTAGGTAAAAGCAGTGGTTGCAAAGGCCTTTTTAGGAGGTTAAAAGATGCGATTTACCCTCTTTCATATTTTCTGTGGGCTTGTTTGAATTGCTGTCAACGTGAAGATGGATTCCCTGTGGTTTATAGCGTGGAAAGTACCAGAACAGTTGCTGCATACCGTTTATTTACCGTAACGTTAAAATGGCCGTCGCTTTCTGTAGAGCAGCAGCGATTCCAGGTTCCAGTTTCAGGGTAAAGCTTCAGCTGTCCGAGGACAGGGGGATGCCAGCGGGGGGCTCGCGCGCGTCCTGCCCGCGTCCCTTCTGATTTGGAAATCGTGCTGAAAATGAAGTTGTCGCGCTCTTTTCTTTGCCGCAGCGGCCTCTCGGTGCTGTTACGAGTCAAGTACAAGTTGCGAAAGCATCAAAAAGCCAAAAGCACCGTCCCCAAGATCTTCCAGGATGTCGTCCGCAGGCACCCCGACAAAGCGGCCCTGATTTACGAGGCCACTGGTGAGCAGTGGACCTTCAGGAGGCTGGACGAGTACTCCAACGCCGTGGCGAACTACTTCTACCAGCAAGGCTTCCGACTGGGGGACGTCATTGCCATCTTCATGGAGAGCCGCCCCGAGTTTGTTGGCCTCTGGCTAGGGATGGCAAAAATCGGCATCGAAGCGGCGCTGATCAACTTCAATTTGCGCTTGGATTCTCTGGTTTACTGCGTGACGACTTCGGGTGCGAAAGCCGTGATCTTCGGCGGGGAGCTGTCTTCAGGTGAGTCGCTTGGGCGTTCGTACGCCTCGCGGGCAGCTCGTCAACCGTTCGCTTGGTCCTGAGTAACGCAGAGGCCGAGTAAACTACAACCAAAAAGGCAGCTGGCCGTATTAAAAGCTAGGGAAGGTGGTAAATCTCCTGATGACAAAAGGCAGAAGCGTTCAGTTAGTATCCGAGGCCGAAAGAGGAGCGGCGTTTTGAGTAGAGCGGTCGGGAGCTCGGTTTCATCTGCCGGCGTCTTCCCGATTTCGTGGTGCCCGGACTGAGCTCGCTGATTTGCTCCTGCTTTGCTGGATCTGGAAGCGCTGCCTCGGGAGCCTTGGGCTTCATCGAGAAGGGGCCATACGTGCCGCGAGGCGTGTTTTTCTGCCGCGAGGCGTGTTTTTCTCTTTTTGCCGCGTTCGTGCTCTTTAACGCCGCGCTTTCTGCCGCAGGATAGGTTTGTCAGCGGGTGCTGGTTTTAAATACATCCCTGCTTCTCTAACGAACCCTGTTCCGATGGTTATGGTTAGATCCGGTGGTTTATTATTCTGAATCATCTTGAAACCGTTCTAGATAACTTGAAGATCACGACGTGGTGGGTCACGGGGAGAGGCAATTTTGCGTAGCTTTTTTGTTAGGGTTTTTACCGGGCCCGGGTCAGTCTGACCGCGCTGGTGCAGACGTTATCTGGATGGGTGCGACGTGAGTATTTTAAAGGAGTCCCTGATTCTTCAGGTCCTCCTGTGGTTTTGAGGCGCAACGGGATGTTATCCGGATTATTTTTGCTGCTGCCTAGGGAGTTACGTTTGTTGCAAAAGCGACTTGCTTTGTCTTGCAGCGATATCTGAAGTGAACGGGATGTTGGGGAAGAACATGGCAAAGTTCTGCTCCGGCGACTATAACCCGGATGCCGTTCCCGTAGAGACCAGGCATCTCGATCCTCTGCTGAGTACCGCGTCGACATCGCCCCCGGCTCAGATTCCAGTCAAGGGTTTAGATGGTAATTTTATCAACGATTTTTATTTCTCGATGCGATGTGTGCGAGAGCTGGGCTAGGTGACAGCAAAACGAGAAAACTAAGGAAGGTGGAGGGATTAAATCAACCCAGTTTGGGCTCGCAAATAGAAGAAAGGAGAACGTGGAATGTGCGCGGGGCGAAGCAGCCGGTGGGCCAGGGCTTACCCCGCGCTCCGGCAGCTCTGCGAGCC